TGAAAGGGTTAAACAGAAACTCTCCGAAGCTATAGGTGCCTTTACTGCTTATTACTGGGAAAACCAGCTGATTCCTAATCTATCTAAAACACAGATGCGTGCTTTCCATCTTCAGAACAGACAAGCATCTCGAGCTCAGAGGAAACGATCTATGCTGACGATAGTGCCATCACTGTTTAAGCAGGGAGCTTTGAAAGGGTTGGACAGAAGCTCTAGGTGCTCTTACTGCCCATTACAGGGAAAAACAAGCTGATTCCTAATCCATCTAAAATACAAACAAGTACTTTTCAACTTATGAACAAAGCATCTCCAGCTCCAAGGAAATGATGTATGCTGATGACTGTGCCATCACCACTCAAGCAGGGAGCTTTGAAATAGTTGAACAGAAACTCTCTGAAGCTTTAGGTGCTCTTACTGCTTAATATAGGGAAAACCAGCTGATTGCTAATCCATCTAAAACACAGATGAGTGCTTTTCATCTTCAGAACAGACAAGCATCTCGAGCTATGAGGAAACGATCTATGCTGACGATCGTGCCATCACTGCTCAAGCAGGGAGTTTTGAAAGGGTTGAACAGAAGCTCTCCAAAGCTTTAGGTGCTCATACTGCCTATTACAGGGAAAACCAGCTGATTCCCAACCCATCCAAAACACAGACATGTGCCTTTCATTTCAAGAACAGACAAGCATCCCGACCTCTGAAGATGATTACCTGGGAAGGAATCCCACTGGAGCATTGCAGCGCACCCAAATACCTGGGAGTCACTCTGGACCGTGCTCTGACCTACAAGAAGCACTGCCTGAACATCAAGCAAAAAGTGGGTGCTAGAAACAATATCATACGAAAGCTGACTGGCACAACCTGGGGATCACAACCAGATACAGTGAAGACATCTGCCCTTGCGCTGTGCTACTCTGCTGCTGAGTATGCATGCCCAGTGTGGAACACATCTCACCACACTAAAACAGTGGATGTGGCTCTTAATTAGACATGCCGCATTATCACGGGGTGTCTGCGCCCTACACCACTGGAGAAATTACACTGTTTAGCCGGTATTGCACCACCTGACATCCGCCGGGAAGTAGCAGCCAATAGTGAAAGGACCAAGGCAGGACATCTCCAGCTCATCCCCTGTTTGGGTATCAGCCAGCACGTCAACGACTTAAATCAAGAAATAGTTTTCTAAGATCTACAGAGACACTAACTGGAACACCCCAGCAAGCGAGAGTCCAAAAGTGGCAGGCTCAAACCCAGGACCTCAACCAATGGCTGATACCAGATGAGAGACTCCCTCCTGGGCACACAGAGGACTGGGCGACTTGGAAGCCGCTGAAGTGACTGCGCTCGGGCACCACGAGATGCAGATCTTTCTAAGATATTTAATTTATTATTATTATTATTATTATTATTATTATTATTATTATTATTATTATTATTATTTTGTTGTTTTACGAAAATTCCCAGCTGAAGGCCAGCCTTGCACTAAAGAGTAAGTCAAATAGAGAAGCAAGAGGGAGGGAAGAGCGCCTTCTTTCTCTCTTTCTCTCTTCCTTCCTTCCTTCCTAATGTGCTTTAATTTATGGCCTCTCTCCTGCGTGGCTTCCCCAGGGGGCTTCTGGAGGCGTTAGAGGAGCAAATAGAAATATCCTGTTAAAAATCAATTAAGAACATTAACAGATCTTAAACTCTTTCCAGCCGCTCTTCCCGGGCTCAGTCCATAAATCACGCCAAGCAGGAAGGCAGAGGCCTTCCCTTCCCTTCCTTTTGTCCTTCTGTCC